GACAACTATCAATACTAGCTACTTACTACTATAGTAAACCAAGAGGCCGCACGCAGCGAACATTTTAAGTATCGGTGACGGCGTAGTCGAGCACGTCTTCGGTTTAGGCGGCACGATCATGCAGATTAACGCAGTTTGCGTACACCATGCATTTCAGCAACCCTTTCAGCAATGCATTCTCGCATCACCCTCGCCAAATCCTATTGGAAATTTGTGTTGGTACAACGAATCGCGTGCCTGAAACTCCTGTTTATGGTGCAATTGTTGACCCATAACCCTAACCCACTAACCCTATTCGAACAAGCAAAAACCATATTTAATTGATTGTAAAAATTATTTAGTTGTTCATGAAGATTGGTCGTACAAAATAAAATCTGTAAGCATATTTTCCTTAGATTGGAAAGAACTATTAAATGATAAAGATAGAAAGAAATAAGAAACAGAAAACGGTAAACTTAATAAAAAATCTGATGAGCCCCATTTCGAAGTCCAACGGAAACTTTTTGTAGTCGCGTAAGCGCTGTGCTGTAAAACCCCGACGTGGGCTATGCGAGGCCATATTGGGTTTGGGCGCGAAGATATATGGTATGCCATGACATATGAGAACACTGTGACAATCATTAGGAGGGCAGTATCAGGAATGCCATATATTACGCCTCCGGTCTTGCCAGGGTCAAAAGGTTTATCAGAACACTCTACGTCTTCGCATCGTCCAGTGGAAACCAAATTTCATGGTCCTCTATCAATAAAGAGGCCATAAAAATGGTAGGGTGCAGGCCGAGCGGAAAACAAAAGTTTTATCGATCGCCTCCGTGCAGACGCACTGTCCTCAAATAATGTCTAAAATCCTGCCCTGTCCCCATCTGACCATTTGACCGTCCAATTTCGCAACAGAATTCTGGCTTTATATGGTTGTTCCTACCATGAATGGCTATACCCACCCGGACTAATGTCACGGAGCCCTAATGTCGAAAGCACGTTTAGATTTGTGCGCGCAAATTCCTGCCATTTCCGTCCTATTACCGAGTTAAGTTTAAGGAGGAATGTTCCCCTTCTTTTAACAGCCTCTCGACCCTTTGACCATTGACCCCGGCAGCCTTCGAACATTCACCAACTCGTTTTCGAGATTACCCCCACCTACGCACGTCCCGGCGAATTTACGGAATCCGTACGCTCGAGGCCGTTAGATTTGTGCCCCAACTGTTGACAGGACAGGGGACACACCGCACGCCACGGACGCAGCAGGACCAATCATGCGAATTCTACACAAGCTGGGCATCTGACTCGCGTCAGCATGAGGCTAAAAAACTGAACTTTGTACTGATAGGCTACCTTTGCAATTTGCACTTGATCAACAACTTGATTACGTATACCTTTGTAAGAAATTTTATGTTTTTCAAACGAATAATGAATTGACTACCGTACGCTTCATTTGCTAACGGCTTCATCAGCTGTCGCTCTGCTGTCGAAGCTTTTGTAGTTTCTGACATTTAAGCGCGCCAAGTAGCAGTCCATCTTACTCAGGAGTAAAGAATAATATATGGTGATATCCCTGCGATAAGAATCATATCCAAGATCCTAGTATTAGTTCTTACTCCTGGATTTTACGATCTACGTCACCAAGTCTATGAAATTCGTGGAGCCAACTATTGCCAGCAGGTGTTTTAGCCCCGGCAACAGATCACAAAAACAAATCAACAATAACAAAAGAACAACAATCACGAACAGTAGATATACACATATATTATATTAATTAATATTTAATTAATAATTTATTTAAAACGATAAAAATTTTCTGTTCGGGGTATAACAAAGTTTTGCAAATCAGCAATGACAGGATAGATTATATACAACCCAAAGTGTATATCCTATCCAGGAGGCGGATTCATCCCCTGTACACCTTAAAATTGTTGTACATAGCTCAGAGAGCCCGTTCGGGTCAAGGCCTCATAAAAAACAGCACCACGGTGTGTGTGTGTGTGTGTGTGTTGTGCTGGTGTGTTTTGTGGCGTGTGGCGCCTGTCGTGTGTGTTGGTGCGTGTGCGCCAGCGCGCGCTGCCTTGTGTCGAGCTGTGTGTGTGTGTGTGCGCGGCAGCCGCTTAGTCGTGTGTCCCGTGCGTTAGTGCGGTGTGTCTGTGCGCGTTAGTGGCGTGCCGACGAGGGGACGTGTAACAGGGGGGGGGGGGGGTCGCCAGGGGTTCTATCTCTTCTCTCTCTCGTGCCTACGCCACAGAAAAACACATCTTAAGGGGCGTGAGCGTGTCAATAAAATCTTTTCTAGTGGGGAGCGCGCGCGCGGTTCTGCGTGCTCAGTCCATTTTCTGGTTACAAGCCCCCATGGTACAGAATCCTGTATACAGCGCCGCCCGCTGCGCTGGCCGTGCGCAGCGTGTGTGTGTAAAACAACATCGCGGACAGCACATGCATGTTTGCATGTGCAGTATGTCTACGTGTAATTGCTACACACCATGACGGTGCATTTATGAGATTTCACCGTAGCCTCGAAGTCACATCCGTACAGGTTTTCGAAAAGTCATTGTTCTCTCACATGCATGACATCTGCTAATTCATAACAATCTATACATATAGATATGTAGACGATTTCGTTACCAACATAAATCATACCATCAGGAGTGTCATAATATAGACATATCATAGTTATCATAGTTGATAATATCTTATCAATAGTCTATATATTATATTATATATGAGATAATTGATAATCTCTATTATGTACTCTTAATTATATATATATATATGTATATAGTCCTCATCTGCTATATCAATTATATATAAAATTTTATATATTATATATATTATATATATAGTGACATATATATTATATATATTCTATATAAGTCTATATTATATTATATTATATTATATATATATAGTGACATATATATTATATATATTATATAACAGTCTATATTATATTTCATTATATTATATTATATATATATAGTGACATATGTATTATATATAACAGTCTATATTATGACACCCCTGACACCACCACCTGGGAGCTGGCATGCGACACTTGCTTAGAATGCAAATTATGCATTTTCGCGGAATTGCCAGCCCACGTTAGTACGCACAGGCCTCACCATTTAAGATAATGGTTGTTAAACAGATATTGGAGTAATCATTCTGACTGATGATTCTGTCAGGATGATTACTCCAAGAACGGATGTGCAGAGAGGACAACTGGGCGCTGACCTCCACCAACCAATATTTTGAGACAAACAAACAACACCCACCAACACATCATCCATTAAACACCTCAAGTATATATATATGTACGCTGTCATATAGGCCATGCTGTTATTCTTAACCACACACGCACGCACGCACGCACGCACGCACGCACGCACGCACGCACGCACGCACGCACGCACAATTACAATCACATTACTTAGCACGGTGGCAACCCGATCACATTCCAAACATATTCCTCGTCAACGCAGAGTCAACGTACCCCTAAGAAGTTACTTGGTACTTCGGGTGTAGGACGATGCCAGGATGCAGGAATGCCAGTAATTCAATTCTACCCTCAGTGTCAATCATGATCATATCAGTGAACCATCACTGGTATATAGCTACTGACACACAGTACATAACAGCCCAGATATGGCTGGACTAGCAACTCCGTTTACGAATGTAGATTCGAGTGATTTCATTTACTACTACCCTTCATTTATACCCTTTCATTTACTACCCACTCTTTTTACGATGGTTATGAGATAGATTCAAGTTATTTTATACGCAGACGTGATGCTAGCGATGGCACCCTGTTCTCGCAGTATATCCTCGGCATACAGTTTACACTTTTGCACCGTTTCGCAACAAGTGTGAGAGCGTTCTTAATGCCTAATCAAACATACAAACAAAGGACAATTGGAATGGGCGACAAAAATTCAATATCTGTGACGTATACTGACCAATACTAATTTTTCGATTCCTGAATTTCCGATCAAGATGCGTACACGGGGGGGGGGGGAAGGAGGGCATCCACTAGCGAGAGATCATTCAACAATGGCTGGTCCCGTTTGCGAGCGTTTCTACGGCGACGACGGTGACGGGCAGCCGCGAGTCTGTTCGGCTACGGGCGTCGTCGCGCGAGAGTATAACATAAAGATATAGCGGGCGGGGCGCCGTGCCGCGGAGGCCAGCAGGCGGAGTGACGCGCATCAGGAGCGTCTGCTTCGCTAGCGAGGCGTCGTCGCCGGCGAGGGCGGGCGGGCGCGTTGCGCGATCGCAGCGGCGGTGACCAGCGCACACGCGCGTGCTGTCGCTAGTCGTCGATCGACGCGTGAGGCGGGGCGTAGGCGCCGTAGCCGCGAGTCAGTATGTGTCGTGACGCGGCGCGGCGCTGTCAGCTACGTCGTCGTTCGGCGCGGGAACGCGAGGCGGGCAGGAGGGCCGTTGACGGCGAGTGGGGCACAGATCGGCGGGGTGATTATCCCGCAAGCGCGGCGGCAGTCTGTCACTACGTCGGCGTCGACGCGGAGCAGGGAGCGGGCGAGGCGCCGATGCCCGCGAGCAGTGGCGTGTGGGACCGCGCACGCGCGTCTGTCGTACGTTTCGTCGGTCGACGCATGGGAGCGGGGCGGGGCGCCGATGCCGCGAAAACCTTTAGTGGCGGTGACCGCGCCGGCGCACGTCTGCTCGCCTACGTTGTAGTGCGACGCCGCCGGAGGTGGGGCGAAAGAAGAGGCGGCCGTGGCGAGGCGACGACGACGACGAACGCGACGGCGAGACATGGATGAGATGAGCAGCGAAAACCATGGCAAACCTGCCCAGCCAGCTTCCACTCGAACACCCAGCGCAGCCGCGCCAGCGCCCTTCGTGCGCGCGCCGCTAATCAATGGAGAAAAAAAGCCGCCGGCGAGGCGCCGAGGTCGGACGTTGCTTTCGCGGCGTAGAGGCAGAGCATAGACTATGTAGGAGCGAGGCAGAGCAGGTCGAGATGTGTCGAGAACGCTTTGAGCTGGAGAACTTGTTCGAGGAACGCAGCTCGAGCAGAAGAACCAGCAAGGTGAACAAACTGTTGGCGAGCCGTTCGGGCGCTGTAATTATCTTCATCAGATGTTGTCGAGCTTCTTGACGATCGTTGCCACGGTGATGCCGCCTAGCGACGCGAGCAGCAGCGCCACCACCAGGCAGATCTTGATGCCGAACGGATACTGAACGTCTGGAATGCAATCGACGGAAGATATTTTTAAATGGCTCTAGGCTTTAAACGCAAATAGTAACTATGTACGGCTAAGGGCAGTGATAAATAGTCGTAGGAGGGACGAGGGTAGAAAGGGAGAAGGGGGCGGGCGCGGGGGAGAGGGAAGAATGAGCGGAGGAAGGGAGAGAGACGGAGGGGGAAAAAAGCGGTGAGAGATAGAGAATGGGAGACGAGAGAGAATGCGAGAGGAGAGAGAAAGGGTGAAGATAGGATAGATAGGGAGAGAGAGACATTGAGCGAGGCGAGATGAAGAGAAGCGACCACGAGAGAGAGGCAGAGAGGAGAGAAGAGAGCAGAGGGTAGGCGAGGGGGGACAGAGGAGAGAGATAGAGAGGGGGCAAGAGAATAAAATAGAGAGAGGGAACAAGAGAATAAAATAGAGAGAGAGAGAGAGAGAGGGAGAGAGACAGGAGAGAGAGAGCGAGAGAGAGGACGAGAGAGGGAGATAGAGAGAGGGGGCAAGAGAATAAAATAGAGAGAGAGAGAGGGAGAGGAGAAAAAGAGGAAAAGTCAAACAGATAATCATATAAATGAAGTGGGTAAAACCTTTGTTCCACACATACCTTTCATGTCTGTAGTGTTGCTTGTAGCCGAGTACTGCTGCATGAAGAAGAAGCCTAGGCCGATGAGTGTGCTGAAGAAATACATCTGCAGTTGCTGCTCCACAAAACTTCTCTTGTCAGTCTTGAACAAATACTGCATGCAGACAGACAAAGTTTGTTACTAGGGCGAGACTACGAGTGACTGACGCATAAGTGCTATTAAGTTGCTTAGTGTTTCAATACACTATAATAGTTACCTCCGCCCACGCAGTGGAGGAGGTTATGTGATCGCTCTCGTGTAGTGTGTTCGTGTGTTAGTCCATTCGTGTGTTAGTGTGTTCGCGCGACCGATATTAGCGCGTCGAGTCAGCAGCAGGCCAGTCAGTCAGCAGCAGCCAGCAGCGAGCGGCGAGCCAGCTCGTAACACATACATGTTACATGGGGCGTATGGCGTATGTCGCTGGCGGAGGTATGCACTCCGTAAGTGCCCTCTGTTTTCAAATGTGACCTTCTCCATTAATTATCTGAATTACACCCACTCCTGTCCAATATTGAACACTTGTTGACGAGTCTTTCATATGCTATGGCTGCTAACTTGTTTGCAAAATGATTTTGGACAAAAACTGAGAAGATGCTTGGACGAATTTGATTCATCATATATGTGCAAGTTTTGGAAGGAAACGGCCAATGTGGACTTAAACTAAGATTTGGTGTATACCAGAAGGAATTTTTCAATAACCATCATAACAAGAATAACTATGGAATCAACGCAAAATTAACATCAACAAAATTCTGTAGGGTGGTACTACTATCATGCCATGTACCAAAAAGCAAAAGCAAACAATTTCCTTGGAGATGTAAACAAAGCAAAGGCCTGCCAGTGCGACAGCAGCAGCAAACAGAACACACTATCACTACCTCACACCAGACACGATACACTTGCCACTTTTGTCTACTCATGCTCTATTATAATATCTATTTATAAGCTCCTGATAATAAAAATATTGTTTGTTTGCCCTCACCCGACCGACCTGCCAAAACGGGGCCAACTCAAAAAATTTTATTGATCTTTTTTTTTCTTTCTTTTTTTTTACAAATTGTATCACTGTACATTATATAAATCTGTAGGCAATACATTATATGTACCAAGCCAAACAAACATTCAACATCTCCACACAAGCACAACGAGCATGTAGACACCATGCTGAATTTGTAAAAAGACCAATTAAAAATTAAAAAAATAAATATAAGCCTACCTACCCAAACTTTTCAGCCTGGGTCAAGTTAGGGCAAACAAATATTTTTTTAATTGTGGCTTGAAACAATTTTTAATAATGAGGGGGAAGGTACGGTAAACGAGATCGTGTATCGTCAGCTACTGACCTCCGTGTAGACGGATGCAATCACAGATAGGCATGCCTGTATGAGGCTGAGCGCCATGGCAACCAGCAGAAGGTTCATGGACTCCGGACTGGAACTCTTTCCTGCGTAAGAAAACACGGAAATATTTTTAATTGCCAACTCGTAACCTCGACATCACAGCCAGCGATCAACACTTCGACGTTTATGCCAAAATCTATTGAGTCATGATCTTCGCCTAGCTTTTTATGTGAACTAGCCCCTAAAATGCTAGCCGCGTAATGTGAAACTATGTGTGAGCACAAATATTAGCACATAACGTGTGTGTGTTAGGCGTGCTTTCGGATAGAGACGCTCATAGGGTCTATGTCCCCCAGGGTACTGCCGGAACGTACCCTGGGTACGGTCCGGTATACCGGAACGTACCCGGGTAACTATCTGATATGGTTAGGGTTAGTGTTAGGGTTAGGGTTAGGGAGTAGGCGTAGCGACTCCCTAGACTCGTTAGTGGAGTAGGCGAGGTACGGTCCGGCATATTAGATAGTACCAGCAGAGCATATAAATCACGTTGATTTATATGCTCTGGTACGTTGCTCTGGTTCGTTCGAACCCCCCGAACCCCCCCTGGCTACGGGCCTGCCTAACCATATCAGCTAGATAGTTACCAGGGTACGTTCCGGTATAACCGGACCGTACCCAGGGTAAGCGTTCCGCGCAGTACCGGCTGGGGGACATAGACCCTCTCAGCGATAGTGACCCCTTGGGCCAGCCCTGAAAAACAACCACCTGCTGCATGCCCACCATAGCTCTGTAAGACGCAGCCATGTCTCTGCATAGAAAACTGTTACAGTCTAACACAACCTTCTCTCTGTAAGGTCTAGCTGACCCAAATAAGTCAGATAGATGGAGGGTGTGTGGGCAAGAATGGGAATAACGTGCTAGAATTGACATTACGATGCCAGCCAATGCAACAGCTTTTAAATATGGATTCTATTTCCCATCATATGATTACTACTAAAAGGTGCAACTTCCGACTAAACTTAACATTATTGCTCACAATAAGAACTCCACCTACCAGACACCTGTGACATTGCTATGGCAACGGAGCAACATCACTAATGCCACCCACTGGACGTTTGTCACTTCCCGTTTAAACCCAGAACCGGTACACCAAAGCTGTAATTATCACCTAAAAATACACGAGAAAAAAAGTAAAAATTGTAAACGTCCTGCAAAACAATTAGCAGTGCATAGCATAACAGCCTGTACCGATATAGTCGGAGAAAATACGATAAATTTACTTTACATTACATGTTGTAAACTTGTAAGAAAACAAGTTGTAAGACAAAAATTTACATAGAGAAATTCATATCACAATGAAATTGCACAGAATGTGGTTCAGCTACATAATTCACTGTTAATTTTATGCTTTCAGCGTAATTCCACTACGAGGTACAGACAAAACCGCGTCGGCAGTCACTTCGATATAACAGCCACCTGCCTATAAAGCGAGCATTTACGGTGGAATCACCGAGCGGCTAGACACTTGCCCGTGATTAATGCAGCGCTCCAGACGGGCGGCGTCGTGTAGTGCAGAGCGAAGAAGTACAGATTGTTCGTGATCGCGTACACCACCGACGGCACGGCAAAGATGACGCCGACGGCTGATCTCCCTCCAGACGCGCGTTCGTCGTCGCCATGACGACCATCAGCAGCAGCGTTGATGGCCTCGGTCGCGGCACACGATGGCGGTCTGCGGCAATGCGGGTACACTCCCGCCGTTGTAATAGCTGATCGAGTAGCTCATCACCTGCTTGCGAGCCTCTAACCGATGAAGGTCACGCAGAAGCAGAAGGCCTTCGACAGCGCGACCTCGGGGCGGTCCGAGCGTCGCCGGCAGCGCGAGTCTTCTCCGCTGGCTCCGCGCGCGCCTCCTGTGGGCCGGCGTCGTCGCCGTGGTTCATGCTGGCGTGCGAGCTCTCTTTACCGAGCGACGTACTCTGTGCACCAAGACAGCTCAACGTTTTGCGTCCGCAGGCGCATCAATGCGCGTCTAGTGAAACGTCGGTCGCCGCGGCAACAGCCGTCCGCCTCGCGCCTCCGTCGACGTGGCTAGAATCGCGCGTGCGCGCTCGCGGCCGCCGCTGTCGCTAATCGAGGGTCGAATCCAGTGGCAACGCCGTCCGCTCGCCGGTGATTGCCGAGAATCACGCGTCTGGTTGAGATGTAGGTCGCTAATCGTGTGGCTCAGCCGCAGCAGGTGCGGGTAACCATCTGCACGTGTGCACCCCTAGGTGGTAATAATGCAGTGATGGGATCGGCGTCAAAACTGTATGCATGCACACAGAGCCACAGCAAGAGAGAGAGAGATAGAGAGGGAGAAGGAGGAGGAGAGAGAGATGGATAGAAAGAGCAAGAGTGAGAGAGAGAGCAGCAGAAGAAAGAGAGCTAAGAGAGAGAGCGAGAGAGAGAGAGAGAGAGAGAGAGAGAGAGAGAGAGAGAGAGAGAGAGAGAGAGAGAGAGAGAGAGAGAGAGAGAGAGAGAGGAGAGAGAAGGCACGAGAGACGAGAGAGGAGAGAGAGAGACGAGAAGAGAGAGAGAGAGAGAGAGAGAGAGGAGAGAGAGAGAGAGAGAGAGAGCGAGAGAGAGAGAGAGAGGAGAGAGAGAGAGAGAGAGAGAGAGAGAAAAAAAGAGAGAGAGAGAGAGAGAAAAAGAGAGAGAGAGAGAGCCATCTCATCCCATGCAATGGAATGTCAACAGATGTTTCTTATTGATGGATCTAAGAATAATGACAAGGGGTAAAGAAAAAATAAAGAGGATGAGGCCAAAATGCTGTTTTAAAAATAAAAAATAGTCACATTTTGAAGCATTCTAACTGTAATTTTATAGTATAATATATTCAATTCATTTCTATAAAACTTAAAAGTTCATATTTTAAAACAAATCACGAAAATAGAACAAGGGGCTCTTTCTCTAAAAAAGTGCAGTTCTGTCATATTAGCATGATATTATGCACATATATATGCCTGTTTATATGCTACATATCCCAACCAAGCTGGCCAACATTGGCGTTGAATTGATATCGCTACTGCCGGTTCAACTATAGATACAGTAATCATTTACCTAGTATTAGTAATTTTTGTGAACAATCAAACAATGATGATTGACATTCTGCCGGAAGGCCCGCATAATCTATATAACTATAAGTCTATCAACCTAAGCTGCCACACTAGCCAGCTATTACGGACTGGCTTAAACACAGTTAGTAAGTTACACAAGTTACACGTTGGAATCAATGAATACCACAGGCACTTGGAGTGTTTCAATAAAACATAATGCTAAATAAATACGAAATCTATTTACTACCAAAGTCTTAATGTTTCTCTACTCTCATTCACCTATTATTGCCGACAATTTCCTGTAAATGCCGTCCAAATGTTCATCTGCAACACACGCTGGGGCCACCCTTAAAAAATTGTTTGTTTCCCCTTTACCTACTCGCCTCTCAGGGTACCGAGTAGGTAGGTAGGTGAAAAATCTTTTTTATTTTGTTTTGACAAGATGTGTGTATGTCTATTGTATATTCTGTTTTGTGTATATGTTTTTGCGGAACGAATTTGATTTTTTTTTTTGGCAAAACAAAATAATTTTTGTTTTGTTTTAATCGGCCAATAAAACGTGTCGAGTAGCGGCGTTTTGGCGAGTCGGTCGGTATAGGGGAAACAAGCAATATTTTATCTTAGGCCTGGCTGCCGCACACTAGCTGCTGCACACTGACACATAAATATATACGGCATTTACAGGAAATTGTCGGCAATAATAGGTGAAATAGAGTAGAGAAACATTAAGACTTTGGTAGTAAATAGATTTCGTATTTATTTAGCATTATATTTTATTGAAACGCTCCAAGTGACTGTGGTGAATACACACAGAATCGGAAAGAATCACTGAGTCACACCACAGGCCCTAGGAGGCTCAAGTTTCAAGAAGAGTATAAGAGCGAAGCGGAATATAAGCGGAAGAAGAGTATAAGCATCCGCTTCGCTCTTATACTCTTCTTCAAACTTGAGCTTCCAAGGGCCTGTGGCCACACTGTGACTGTGTTACACGGTTACGCACAAAAGCACTTGGAACGTCTTAATTAAAAAAAAACAATGGTAAACTAAATAAGTTTACACAAAATGTATTTACTACCAAAGTCTTAATGTTTCTCTACTCTATTTCGCCTATTATTGCCGATAATTACCCGTAAATGCCGGTCAAATGCTC